CGCGGCGCGGGGCGGTGCGGGGCGGGGCGGCCGCCAGCTTTGCTCCGCCCGGGGCGGTGCAGGGCCCCCGCAGTCCGCCCCCGAGTTCTCGGCCCCTGGCTGTAGATGCAATTGAAAAGTTGCACCCAAAGCGTCGTCAGTACCGCCTTTCTTCCCTCGCGGTGTTTCTGCTGGACGGCCATCAGTCGCTGGCGAGCTCGCTGAGAACAAAGTCTCTTCTTTTTTGGGGTGTCTCAAACGCCCCTCTAAACTGCCCTACCACCAAAATTGTTCCCAAACTCTAGGGCCTGAGGAATGGCTGTTACAAAATTTCCCAAACCTTACCATGGAATTCCTCCTGATGTGCATCCGAAGTCTCTTTTTTAGTCCTGTTATTACAACCCCAGAAAGAGAGAAGTGTCACTCCTTGTTAGGAAAAGCAGACAGCCGGAATAGGCTTCTGTGAACTAATCCAGCAGGATGGACGTCCAGGGGCTGGTTTGCCCACGCTCGCCCTGAGCCCAGCCAGGTGGACAGCACGAGGACAGTAAGGCAGGACCCACGCCCAGCCAGGGAGCCCCGGGCTGCAGGGATGCCCAGGGCGGAGGGAGGGGAGCCCAAGCCCAAGAATCCCAACATTTGGTTGCAGGGCGGGTGCCAGGCAGGAGAGAAGCTGCATGATCAGGGACAAGTGAAGGACTCCGTGACCGTGTGGTGAGACAGGATGAGAGCTGGGAAACGGGCAGAAGCCAGCCTGGAGCCGCCCATTCCTGCTGAGGATTAGTGCGGCCATCTGCTGCAGCGGCCTCACTCACCCCACACTGCAGGCTTCTAGCCCTGCAGGTTCTGTAGGAATCCCCCGCTGCTCCCCTCTGCCTGACTAATGCCAGCCAGGCCCAGGGCCAGTACTGGGAACAGGATAGCTCCCTGACTCAGTGGAGCTCCCATTCTAGCGTGTGGGAGAGAGCAGACGCCAAACTGGCAACACACCCCCCCACAGCTGGGGTAAGAGCTTGGAGGGAGCACACACGGGCTTTGTGGTCCAAGGAGGGCTCGCTAAGGCAGTGACATCAGAGGAGAGGGAGGCAGAGAGTAGGGCAAGCTAGTCGCACAAAAGCTAGAGGGAAGAGTCTTCAAAGCAGAAGGAAGAGCATGTGCCAAGGTCCTGAGGCATGAGCACTGCCAAGGGTTTGGAAGAGGCCAGGCAAGCTGAGAGTGTGGTGAGCCAAGGGAGAATGGAACAAGGTGGGCAAGCAGTCTTGAAGGCATGATTAGGAGCCTGGATTTTAAGTGCACCAGGAGCCACTGAAGGTCCTGAGCAGGGGAGTGAGATCTGATGTGTTTTTTTTTTTTTTTAAAGATTTTTATTTATTTATTTGATAGAGAGAGAGAGCACAGGCAGGGAGGAGGATCAGAGGGAGAGGGAGAAGCAGACTCCCCACTGAGCAGGGAGCCCGACCTGGGCTCAATCCCAGGATCCTGAGATCATGACCTGAGCCGAAGGCAGACACTTAACTGACTGAGCCACCCAGGCACCCCCTGATGTGCATTTTAAGATGAGTTTGGGACCACAGGGAGGCAGGAGGAGACAGGTGGTTTAGAGAGTGGGCTGGGTAGGCCCGTGTTGGGGACCAAACAGCGGGAACACCCGCCGTTCACTGGAATGTGGGGCACGACGACTCGCGGTTCAAGCTGGTTTGGTGACTGGTGGCCTGCTTTCTGAGATGGGGCAATGGCCACAAGCCAAGTTCTGTTTTGGACATGTGGCCCACGATGCACAGAGGTGGCTGGGGGCTCGCCTCTCCCAGTTCCCCTTCTCAGTCTGTCCCTCACCCGCTCCTTGCTGGCCTGTGTGTGGCCCCCTGGTTTAGCTTCAGTGGCGTCGGGCACCCTCCTGTTTCCTTTGAGGGTGGGGCTGTGGAGACTCCTAGCCAATCACGTGTCCCGCCTGCCTCTGTCCCACTTTCAGGGGACCTGGCCCGGCCCCGCGGTGCCGCCAGGCTCCTCAGCCTCCACAGGCCTCCTGTCAAGTGTCTGGGTTCCCGCAGAGCTGCCTGGCCTCCCCCTCGCCGACAGCTCTACTCTTCTCTGTCCTGCCCGTGTGTCTTGCCCGCCCATCACCTGACTCTGGGGCTAACCTGGAGCTCCATCCTTGGCCGGGTCCTTTGCCACCAGGCATCCTGTGCTCTGCAGGGCACTGAGCAGCTTCCCCGCTCCCACCAACCAGATGTCAGTAGCGCCTCCCCTCGGTTGTGACAAGCAAAAATGTCTCCAGGTATTACCACGTCCCCTTCTGGGGGGCAGGAGTGCCCTCGGGGTGTTTTGCCAGTTTGGCGTCTGTTCTCTCCCACACGCTAGAATGGGAGCTCCACTGAGTCAGGGAGCTATCCTGTTCCCAGTACTGGCCCTGGGCCTGGCATTAGTCAGGCAGAGGGGAGCAGCGGCGGATTCCTACAGAACCTGCAGGGCTAGAAGCCTGCAGTGTGGGGTGAGTGAGGCCGCTGCAGCAGATGGTCGCACTAATCCTCGGCAGGAGTGGGCGGCTCCAGGCTGGCTTCTGCCCGTTTCCCAGCTCTCATCCTGTCTCACCACACGGTCACGGAGTCCTTCACTTGTCCCTGATCATGCAACTTCTCTCCTTCTGTGGAAGGCAAAGTAAGCAAGGGTATGGGAGGGTGGGCCGACCCGGGCTCTTCAGAACGCAGCAGGCGAGGGGCCTCCCACATCCCCTCCAGGGTTATGACTACAGGCAGCAGCAACCAAGGAACCCCTAGTTTTCCAGAATCTGGGGCCAGGAAGGCCGTGTCCCTGGAGGGACATAGTATTTTGTCCCATGAGGGCTCACTCTCATCCTGAGTCAGCAGATTCCTTTTGGTTTATATCGTTCTCTTACAAGTTTGGTTAATGTGAGGCAGCCCCCAAGAGACGCATCTGGAGGCAGTGACCAGTTGGATCCCTGGCTCTGCAGGCCCTGGGGCGTCCCGACTGCACCCCCAAACTGCAGGGAGCTGAGCGGGACCCAGTGCATGGGTCAGAACAGATGTTTATTACAGGAGAAAACATACCATCCACAAGCAGCAGGACGAAGACGCGTTCGGGGTAAACGCTAGGGAGGCGGCAGGAAAGCACCCGGAACCATTGCCACATCCGCTGGGAGGGAGACAGCAGCACGTGGAAAGTGCACCACAGAACTAGGATAAGACAAGACGGAATGTGGCCCCCCGACGCAGAACACACTCGCTGAGGACTGAAGGAACTGAAGAGATCACAGAGCCGACAGCCATCAGACGGACTGTTTGGAAAGTCCCACTTCCTGCACCATGACCAACAGCTGTGCGAGAGCTCTGACAGCCCAGGGGCGCGCACTGCACCGGGGGTGAGGACAGCCCCAGGAGCCGAGTGCTCGAGTCATCAGGACACACGCACGTGTTAAAACTGGAATGCCACAGGGACCTGGGAAGGCTCTGTCTACGGAGACTGCAGACAACCACGGGCAGCAGCGGCCACTGGCCCCCATGGCCCCGTCTGGGTCCTGGCAGGACTCTGGTCAAGGGGAGGACCCTGTGGTTCGTGGAACAGGCGGCTGGAGTTTGTGAGGAGGACACCAGGAGACCACCAACTCTACGCTCAGTGCACAGAGGTCCCTGGAGGCACGGGCTGCCGCTCAGAGCAGAGCTATGTCCTTGGGTAGGAGACACGCAGTCTGCCCCATCATCTTTGCAGCCACTCCCACCCTGAACTGGCCCTCAGCCCATTCCCTCTCTGGTCCCTTGGGCCTTGGGGACACGGCTTCCTTGGGCCTCGGGGACACCCCCTTTACCCCTCCGTCCTGGCTGAGAACCCTGCCCTCGCTGGTCCTACTCCAGAGCAAATGTCCTAGTGTCCCCTGTGCCACAGGCTTCTGCCACGAGCACCAGGACTGGGGAGCCCCGGGCTTTGCTCCCTGGAGCCGAGGCTGCAGGGCTGCCTCCAGACCTGCATACTCTGCAGCATGTCTTGGGGCCTCACTCACTTGCAGGGGAAAGGAATATCACAGCTTGGTGTCCACACTGGGGATGGACACAAGAGGTCACTGGAAATCAAGCCCAGGTAACACCCTGGTGCCTACAGCCTCCCCAGGAATGCAGCGGACCCAGTCACAGGTGAGCCCCTCAACCTGTGGGGAGAGGAGGAAGCCGAGCCCCACCTGCTGTGTGGCCCTCACTGCCCACTCTCCCACAGCGCTGGCTCCCACCTTCCCTCAGATGGAGGCCGGCAGGAGCCCCGTAGGGACAGATGCTGCTGGATGATCGACGTCACGTCCCGGGGACATCTGCAGGTGTCCTCCATGGCCCCCGCCATCCCAGCGCCCTCCACGCTGGGCCAGGTGCTGAGGTGCTGCTCTGAGTGCTCTCCAGCAAGAGAACCATGCTCAGCAGGGCGTCCTAAAGGTTTCCCATTTGGAAAAGGCATTTCTCTGGGACATCCCCAGGACGCTGGGAAAGTTGTTGATGTTGCCTGTGGGGTTTCAGCCTGCAGTGCTTTCCTAGAAGGCTGGGTGGCGTCAGCATTGCCCTCCTGGGTGGGCGGGGGCGAGAGGTGTGAATTCTGTGGCCTTTGGAGAGGTTGGGGAAGGCCCCACCAGGAGTTCGAGCTCGGGGAGTTTGCTGCCTTCACGGGGCTCTGGGAAGAGACAAGGAGAAGAGGGGCGCTGCTCACCTGCGGCATCACTCAGCCCACCTGCGGCACCCCCCTGCCCCCCCCCCAGCTCGGATTTCCTGTCTGGGCCCCGTTGCCCCTACCCGGCCCTCAGATGGTTCCTCTCTGCTCACCCAGGGGCCTCCTCACCTCCTCCTCGGGGCTCAGGACTGGGGCAGTTGGGTTAGTTGGGAGGTTCACTTCTAGGCACATTTCATCAGGAACTTCTTGACTGGGGTGATCTGCTCTCACGCCAGAAAAGGACAAGAATTACCTTTTGAGCAAAGAAATGCAATTATTACCCGGCTGGCTGCTGGGAAGCTACAAGTACACACGTGAGGACATGTGTGTCTCCCCCCGCCCCCCCAAGT